CTGAGAAGGCAAACCATGAAAATGGATGCACCAAAGAAGGAAAAAAGTCTAGCTCTCAAAATTGTTGAAGGTTCAGATCTGGAGGATGATGAAATGGCTATGATCACAAGAGATTTCAAAAAGTACCTGATGAGAGGAAAGAGTTCTTCAAGAGGTACAACCTTCAACAAACCAAGGGTTCCTGAGAAACAGACCATTGAGGGCAATTTCTTGATCATGTGATCAGTCTTACCACACTTGTAGCAACCCTCATTGGGAAATTGAGTGGAAGAAGGAAAGGGCTGAACGAAGGAACAGGAAGAAGGAACAGGTTCAACCAAAAAGCAACAAAGGATCAACAAAGGCTATGGTTGCTGCCTGGGGAGAAACATTAGATGAGGACTCAAAAGATGAAGCTGGAGATGAACAAGCACTTATGGCCATCGGAGAATTAGATAATGAACAAGAGGTAAGTATTCTTCATCTCAAAGACAAGATTAAATTCCTGTCTAAAGAAAGGTTGTCTGAGCTATTGCTAGACTTCATTGATGAGTCTGAGATAATTAACAATGAGAAGGAAGAGTTGTCTAGAGATTGTATGATCCTAAAAGTCAAGTGCAAAAATCTAGAGTCTAGGGCTAATGAGAGTTAAAAGTGAAAATACTGAGTTGAAGAACCAGGTTCTTGAACTTAACACTAGTATCCTAGAACTTAGGTTTGAGAACTTAAAACTGAAACTAGGAACAGGAAAGAAGAAAGGTGATCACACACATCTCACCCTAGAAGAAAACTTAGGAAAAATGAAGGATGAGTTGTACAGGAAAGATGAGCAGATAAGAGTATTAAAAGAAGATCTAGGGAAGGTAAAACATGAACTAGATAGAACTTGCAAATGGAACAAGGCTTCTGATGCACTCTCCTAGCTACAAGAACATCACAGTAGCAATAAAAGAGGACTTGGTTATAGGACTCAAGCACCTAAATGGGATCCTAAAAGAAAGTACCTCACTCTTCCTGAGAACAAAATTTGCACACACTGTGGTAAGACTGGCCATTACAAAAATTAATGTAATGCAAAGGAAAAGGCCAGTCAAAAAAACAAGACTTTTGTTCAAGAAAAAAATAGGCTGCCTGGGTGGGCTAGAAGGAATCTGATTTATCCCTTTGCCCATAGAAAGGGACCCAAACTAGTTTGGGTTCCTAAGACTAACCCCTAATTTCTTTTTGCAGGTCCAAGTGAAGGGAAGCAACCAAATATGGTACATGAATAGTGGCTGCTCAAAACATATGACTGGAAGTAAGAACCAATTCCTTTCACTTGAGGACTTAAGGGAAGGCAATGTCTCCTTTGGAAATGGGACGAAAGGTGAGATCATTGGGGTTGGAAAGGTAGGTAAGACAGACTCTCACTCCATTGAGAATGTCTACTTAATAGATGGCTTGAAATATAGCCTGATCAGTGTGTCACAACTATGTGACAGAGGTAACCCTGTAGCATTCACCTCTACTAAATGCTTTGTGATTAACCTTACCACTAACAAGATTGTTTTGCAGGGAAAAAAGTTAACAATATTTACATTGTAGATTTGTCTACTCTCTCAGAAAATGAACTAACCTGCCTAAGTGTGTTGGATAATGATCCTCTCCTGTGGCACAAAAGACTTGGTCATGCCAGTTTGAATCAGGTAAACAAATTGGTTTCTAAGGACTTGGTGATAGGGTTACCTAAAAACAAGTTCAAAGAAGACAAAGTTTGTGAGGCCTGTGCAAGTAGGAAGCAAGTAAGATCATCTTTCAAAAGCAAGAAAATGGTAAGCACAACCAAGTCGTTGGAACTGGTCCATATGAATCTCTGTGGTCTAATGAGAACCATGAGTAGAGCAGGAAAGAAATATGTCTTGGTACTTGTTTTTACCTGGGTACTATTTCTAACATCCAAAGATGAAGCATTTGACATGTTCACTTCCTTTGTTAGAAAAACTCAGAAATATTAGGAAATCAACTTGCATCAATCAGGCCTGATCATGGAACTGAATTTGAAAATGCTAAGTTTGCTAAATTTTGTGATGAAAATGGTATAGTTCATAACTTCTCTGCCCCTAGGACCCCTCAACAAAATGAAGTAGTTGAAAGAAAGAACCGGACTTTTGAAGACATGGCTAGGACTATGCTTCTTTCTAGTAAACTACCCCATAGCTTCTGGACAGAGGCTGTAAACACTGCATGTTACATTATCAATAGATGCATGACTAGACCTCTTGTAGAGAAGACTCCTTATGAGTTACTTAAAGGGAGAAAACCAAATATATCCCATCTTAGGGCATTTGGATGCAAGTGCTTTGTGCACAATAATGGAAAAGACTCCCTAGGTAAGTTTGATCCCAGAAGTGATGAGAGAATATTCTTAGGATATTCTTCACATAGCAAAGCATATAAAGTGTTCAATAAAAGAACTTTGTGTGTAGAAGAAAGTATACATGTAGTATTTGATGAAACTAACATTCTTTCTGAGAGACATGAACATGAAGATAAAGCCATTGGATTGGTAAAGGATTTGACTAAAGCCTCAGCACAAGTCAAAGTGGCACCAAAAGAAGGAACGGGTTCTTCTATCTAGGGCAACCTGACAGGGGGAACTGATCAAAGAGGAATTGAAATAAATCCCCTAAAAGAACCTGTTCATGACCTTGTTCCTCGGCAACAGAACATGGGAGAAATATCTAGCAAAATCCAGTTGGTTGTGAAACCTCACAAGTATCAAAGTTATCATCCTATTGAGAACATTATCACTGATCCAACATTTGAAGTCAAAACTAGATCACAATTAAAGAATCTGTGTGCTTTTGATACCTTTTTATCTCTTATTGAACCTAAAAATGATGTTGAAGAGGATGCAGATTGGGTGAATGCAATGCAAGATGAACTCAATCAGTTCGAGAGAAGTCAAGTTTGGCATCTAGTTCTAAGACCCAAGGACAGATCAGTTATTGGTACAAAATGGGTCTTCAGAAACAAATTTGATGAAGATGGAACAGTTACAAGAAACAAGTCAAAACTGGTGGTCCAAGGTTACAACCAAGAGGAGGGCATAGATTATGTTGAGACTTTTGCTTCAGTTGCAAGACTAGAGGCAATCAAACTCCTCATAGCCTTTGCAGCACACATGGAATTCACTCTTCATCAGATGGATGTCAAAAGTGCCTTCCTGAATGGCTACTTGAAAGAAGAAATGTTTGTAAAACAACCTCCAGGGTTTGAGAGCAAAGAATGTCCTGAGCATGTGTATAAGTTAGACAAGGCTCTCTATGGACCAAGCAGGCCCCAAGAGCATGATATGAACGACTGTCCAAATTCCTACTGGAGCATGGTTACAAAAGAGGTAAAATTGACAGTACCTTATTCTTAAGGAAAAAAGGTAAGGATCTCCTTGTGGTACAAATATATGTTGATGACATAATCTTTGGGGCCACCACTGATAAGCTAAGTAAGGACTTTGCAAAATTAATGGAGAGTGAGTTTGAAATGAGTATGATGGGTGAGCTTAACTTCTTCTTAGGCTTGTAGATCAAACAAAGTCCTAATGGAACCATGATCCATCAGTAGAAGTATACAAAAGAGCTTATCAAAAAGTTTAAAATGGAAGAATCAAAATAAATAGACACACCCATTGCAACTGCTACTAAATTAGACATTGATGAACCTGGTTCATCAGTTGATCAAAAGTTGTATAGGGGTATGATTGGTTCACTCTTGTATCTTCCTGCCAGCAGACCTGACATTATTTTCAGTGTAAGGCTTTGTGCTCGTTTTCAGGTAAATCCAAAAGAGTCTCACTTGACTGCTATCAAGAGGATACTAAGATATCTGAAAGGCACCACTGATCTGTGTCTTTGGTACCCCAAAGATAGTAATTTCAATCTAGTAAGATATGCTGATACTGATTATTCATGTTTCCTAGTGGATAGGAAGAGCACCTCAGGTATGTCTCACTTTCTTGGTTCATGTCTTGTATCCTGGGCCACTAAAAAGGAAAATGCAATGGCCTTATCCACTGCTGAGGCTGAATATGTTGTTGTTGCTTCTTGTTGTGCTCAATTGTTATGGATCAAACAACAGCTGGTAGATTTTAGCATTGAAGTTGGTTGCATTCCTATATTCTGTGATAACACTAGTGCTATAAGTATGAAAAAGAACTATGTTCATCATAAGAGGACTAAGCACATAGATGTTAGACACCACTTCTTAAGAAATAACTATGAGAAAAGATTGATCTCCATAGAATTCTGTGCTACTAATAAGCAAATTGCTGACATCTTTACTAAAGCACTGAGTAGAGAAAACTTTGAAAGGAATAGGTTGGAATTAGGGATGCTTAAGATCACCTAATAGGTCCAGCTCAGAATGCACAATGAAAAAAAATAAAAATAAAAAATATATTCTTTGGCTAGGAATTCTGAACCTGTGTAAATATCTAGATTAATTCTTACTCAGCTTCATACTTTAATTAGTATAATCCTGTGACATGTGTATATATGACTCACTGATCCCTTACACCATTTTCTCTATTATGGCATTTGAAGCATGTTCAAGAGAGTTCTATATGAAGAAACAAGTTTATTAGTATGGGTTCATATGAAAGCTCGGGTATGTTTTCTATACTCTGCACAATTAGAAAGATTAATAATTAAATCATGAGCCAAAGTCCTATACTTGTCAAATTCCTAGAAAATTCTATCAGTTGAGCATTGAACCAGTTCCGTCCATCTAGAACTCTAAACCGTGATTTTTGGCCTAATATCTAAGAAAGCCAAATCTATCATTAAAATTCTGGAATTTCAGTTTGATTAGACTTCTATTTGACCCCTAAAAAGGCTGTCGTTACTTACTTAATGTCTAATTCACTTTAAATACACACCACATCTCCAGTCTTCTTCATAATTCTAAAACCGTCAAAAATTCCTCTTCAATTCTAATTGCCCTCTTCTCCAAAATTCCCAAATTCTCTCAAGAAACGAAGAATCATGTCTAACCTACAAGATCATCCTGGCAGCCCTCCAGCACCATCTCCCTCAAATTCATCCTCATCTACTCCACCAAGTGCATCTCCAAAACCTAGGTTTCGAAGGCAGAAAATGCTTGCTCGAAAAACTGTAGCATCTGGGGCTTTGAGGAAGGTTTTAAATGAAAGGTTAAAAGTTAGCCAAGTGAAAGAAAGCCCAGATCCAAAGTCTGATTCTAGCTCTGAGTACGAATCCTTTCAATCCGCGACTGAGGGAGATGGACACGGGTCTTCTGGCTCTAAAAAGACTCAAGAATCTCCTTCTGAGGTAAGTTCTTCTATGGTTGAAAACTTAGAAACTAGGTTTGTTCCGGTTGAACCCATTAGGGATGTTGAGTTGCCTGAGATGAGTAGGAGTGGAGGTAAAAAGAAGTCTGAAAAGAAAAAAGAGAGAGAGGGTGCATGTGGTGAAGAGAGGGGAAAAGGGAAGGGAGCGGTTCTTGCTATATGTGGGGTTGCACAAGATAGGTTAGATGAGAGTGGCATGAAGTCAGGGGGAAGTGGTTCTGGGGAAGCAACTGAGGGGTTGGTTCATCTAAGCAAACAAAGAGATGAACCTGTTTCATCTACTGAAGAAACCTTGGCTGACTTACTGAAAAAGGTTGGGCAAGTTATGACCCAAAGAAACGCAAAGCTATTGCATCAAAAGTCCTAAATGTTACCAAGCCATCCAAGAAAAGAAAAGCCTCATCCCCTACACCTACTGCCTCTTCAGTGCCTAGGGGTAGAGCCACAAGAAGTAGGGTAAAACAGTGTGAAGCTAATCTACAAAAGGCTTTAGAAGAAAGCAAGAAAAAGAAAAAGGATAGAGGAAAGGGAAAGGTTGCAGAATCCTCAGAGGCTTTTGAGGAAGAAGAGATGGAACTGGTCCATCAAGAGAGGGGTACAACAATGGAGGTTACTACACCCAAGCCTAAGAAACCCAAGACTTCCTCTAAGAAGTCCTCCTCTGTGCCTATAGCTGCTGAACCCACACTAGCTAAGAGGACAAGAGCTGCAGTGAAAGCTAAACAAACCAAAGTTTCTGATGATGATGATTGGAGTAGAGAACAAGAAGAAGATGATGAATCTGAGAAGGAACAAGATAAGCATGACATTTTTGGCAGAAGAAAAATCTTAAAAGGTAGATTGTTGAAGGACCTGGTGGGACCAGGGATAATGAGATTGGTCGACTCTTTGGCTGCTTAAGGATGGAAGGACATGGTCCTTTAGATGGAAGGTAGGCTAGCTAGAAATGAGTTGATTGAATTTCTGGCAAATGATGTTGTTAAGGATGGAGTTGTTAGTAGCCAGGTGAAGGGAGTTCAAGTGCAGTTTGATGCTGTGAAACTGGGAGAGATTCTGGATATACCCTCTGAAGGGTTTGATGACTATACTAGGAAAAGGTGGCCATGCCTGGACTCCCTCCCCACTGCCCTTGAAATCACCAAAAGGTTCTGTGATTCAGAGAATGTGAATAAAGCCAGATCTGTGCAGAAAAGTGAGATGAGGCCTCAACACAAGGTGGTGTTTGAGTTTGCCAACAAGTGCTTATTGCCAAGACAGGAGAGAAGGCACACTACCAACTACATGGATCTGGTTCTTATGGAATGCCTGGAGAGAGGAAAGCAAATCAACTGGCCTGCCCTCACAGTCAAACTGCTAGACAGGGTCATAAATGGTTCCAAGGCTCATTCTACCCCATATGGCTTCATACTAACCACAGTTCTGGATAGGCTAAATGTGCCTCTAAAGAAATAGGAAATGGCCTCGAGCAAAGAACAATTTGGCATCAAAACTCTTCTTGCTTGTGACTATCTAGTCAATGCCATCCCAGTTGAACCTGGTTCATCCTTGAGGACACCCATCAACAGCAAGGTTAGGACTTTGGTTCAAGAATGTGCAGCTAAGGATGCTGAAATTGCTAGGCTCAAGGCTCGTGTGGTTGAAATGGAAGCTGAGAGGGATGGTCTCAGAATTAAGCTTGCAAAAGAAAAGGAGAAGAATGATGGAATTCTACAGAACATGATGAATCTTCTCAAAACTTAACCCTCTAGTTCCTCCAAGCCTTAGAACTCTTAGTTTCTGTCTCCTGAACTAGTTCTAGTACCCCCCAGTGACCCAGATTAGGGATTTTTCTGTTTTTTTGCTCATGGTTAGGATGTTTTCTTTCTTTTTGTGGATTGTTAGTGGAAACATATCTCTCTCAATGACAACTACTGTTTTCTCTTGTTCAATGATTATTCTGACCTTGATAATTTAAATATGTTTGTTTGATTACTGATGATTGCACCATGATTGCACTTGCAATTGCCCAGTGGCCATGAGTACTTATTAAAATTTGGAATTCACACTGTGTATGTAGCTTTTCGATGATGCCAAAAGGGGGAAGAGATATTGTGCTTTACACATTATTCTGAAATAAGTGATATTTATAACCTAATTAACCTAGTCCTTGATGAAAAGAAAATTTTCTAAGTTTAGTGTTGATAGTTAAGTTGAGTTCTTACAGGTTTTTTATCAGTAAAAAGCACAGAGTTTGTCATCATCAAAAAGGGGGAATTTGTTGTCCCAAGAACAGGTGAAGTTTTGAAGAATGACAAATCGACTCAGTCGTGGATCAGGTCCATCTTGTGAAGCACTGTCATGATCAACCTACACATGTGAGATGCATATGAAGGAGATAAGTTCTACTGATCAAGCAGCAATATCTCCTGATCTGATCGAAAAGGTTGCATATTGGATAAGGGGAGAAAGTCTCCTTTTATGAAGAGAACACAATCCGAATAAAGAGAGTGTTAGAGTTTGATATCTTCAAGGACTCAACTACGACAGAAGATCAGAAATAGAGTCCCAATCAAACTCTGATTTCTAACCTATTAAATGACATTGATTGTTCTTTTTTATAGGTATTGCACAAATGCAGAAGTTAAACAAAATTGAAAGCAAAAGAGCAAGGCGATTTTGCAAGAAATTTGTGTGAGATCTGAGTGTGCACTCCTGAAGCTACTTGAACGAGATAGAAGAACCAGTTCCATTGTGTTTTTTCATATTCTAGTTCAATTGTAGTAGGTGGTTTAAAGTTGTACCTTTTAGTTTTCGTAGAAGCAATTGTATTAGGTACTTTGAGTGTTCAAGTTAGAAGCTAAATAGAAGTTGTCGCAACAGTTGAGGCTGTGTGCCACAACAGGATTAGAGTTAATCCTTAGGTTTACAAAGTATTTTTGGAAATGCTATTTTGGCTCAGTGATTTTAGTGGAAGTTTGGGAAAATCCTACTGAGTAGTAGGTCGTGGTTTTTTCACCTTTTGAGCTAGGTGTTTTCCACGTAAACATATATGTGTTCTTTATTTTATGTACTCTTTATTCCGCAAACAGTAGTAGTTAGAGCACCTAGAAGAACCAGGTTCTTCTAG